GGACTATACCTATCTAATTACGTTATGCTTCACATTTTTAAAAGCTATTGATGAATTTATTGGAAATAGTATATTAATCATAATTAATACCAATGAAAATAAATCTATTTATTCCAACAATACTAAGTAAATTTAAATATTAATTCGGAGTTGAGTTATGGGGCTCCACTAAACCATCGAATTCCTCTCGTATCCAATCCTTACAATCCAAAATCCTTCGTAAAATCCTCAATGCTCCCTACTTTGGTGCAAATAAAACCATCCATAATGACCTTAATGTTCCTTTTGTTTCAGAATTAGCCCAATCCAGATACCTATCCTTCCATAATAAACTTCAGAATCATCCCAACCCTCTCGTTTCTAACCTTGCTTCCTCTTCAATTCCTGATAACTCTCCGAGGCGTCTGAAAAGAAGATGGCCCCATGATCTCCTAATGTAAACATATCATTAGAGTGCTACCATTGGGTAGTTACTCAGCAAGTGTTTTTCATGTCATTATATACATTATGTTCTGATTTACTAGATGTATTTATTTAATACAGTTGTAAATGTCTTTAACAAAATAAAATAAAAAATATTAATTAAATAAGAACTGCTAGATATGACTTATATCTGAGTATATTAATTAAATTAAAACATATTAAATTAATATAACATATTAAATTAAAATAAAGGAATATATATATATACAAATATTTCGTATTCGCACCTGTAAATATAAATACGGCTTTATTTACACTTTTAAACGTGAATAAGTCTGTATTCACAAATAAACAACTGAATATGCTTGTATTTACAGAAGTGAATTGGAATACTTTCACACAATCTTATATATTCTTTCACTTTCACACAATATTCTTATTTGTTAAATGCTGGATCAGCAGAATGTTATGAAATTATTCTCAGTACATACTCAAAATAGGTTGATTACCGAAAGTACTTTGTAATTATCATGAAAAGTCATCTGGTAGTGCCCATCTCTAATAGAGATTGCCGTTTTTATTTATTTTTTTTGTGTTTTCCCACCAAATTAACCTTAGCCTTCATATGGCAATTTGATTTTTTGTTTTTATATACAATTTTGAATGTCGTGGATAATCATCATTTCACTAATGACGAATTTCAAGGTTACAATCTAACAAAAATTTAAGTTTTCTATACAGGTCTCCTTGTAATACTTATGAGATTCGTTCTAAATGAGGCTTCAATTCTCACCTATACAATGCTAATTATCTTTGATTTTTTTCTCTATAGTTTCAATTATTTATCTGCATTTGTCGATGAGCTGTTGCACATGGTCTGATAGAATTAATGAACTGATATGTCAGGCATGAGAAAATAAAGCACCCTACATAATATAGAAGTGGCAGCATTAGCTCTTCCTGGTTTGACTTAATTACCATGGCTTGTTAAAGAAGGTGATTTCTCAGCCAGCACCTTTTTAGTCCCTTCATCCATCGTATTGATGGACATGTCAACTGAAACCTGAAATCACTTCTTAGTGTATTATTCTGTCCGTGTAGGAGGCGGAATTGCCAAGCGCGCTGCTCGGCAATCTGATAAACATAAGTTGCCATAGTAAAATAAGTAGGAGTTTGCGTCCCAGTCCTAGAGGTATTTTTAACTATGGCACTAATCCCCCGACCTCCCCTCTGGCCCGAGTTAGCCCCATTATAGCCAAAAAGGCGAGGAAAGGGAGGAAAAAAGAAGTATGTCCGTGTTAATTAGTATGAAATTGTTTATAAATAGTCCTTATGTATTGGTCAGCTGTTAGCATGTGGAAGTCGGTATGTAAGGTTTTGTTTGTCACTTGCCAAGGTGATTTAGTTATTGATCGTAATATTCTTAATTGAAGTGTTTGTAAATGGGTCTCTTTAGCTATACCGTGTATCTGTTAGGAGTTTGTATACGCAGGTTTAAGTAAGTATATGTACGCATTTATTTTCTATCTCAGTTCTAGTTTTAAAGATTTGGAAAACAATGAGCAAAGTGGTTTGAGTACTCTATTGAGAATCTTATGATACATTTTAAATTTTGGAGTCTCACTGCTAAGATAAATTTCTACTGCCTCTGCTAATTGGTTTTCACTTGTAATAAAGACTGGGATCGAAAGCGATGAATCCAAGAACTTTGTATAAACATCCCAATCGATTGAAGCAGTAAAAAGTGATGGCCTTCTTTAAACATTGATTACCTCATCACGCATAATAAAATGTACTTGTACTAATGCTGTGAGTAAAGGTTCGTAGTCTTTTCGTAATACAAAATCCAAGATGATTTAGGTCTCGATACACATCAATATGTCGGTATATCAGGATTTATTCTATCTAATGAAAACTCGTTGACAGCAGCTCTAAATTTTATTTTTCTTGGTGTGCTAGGTTGTGAGCAAGTGGTGCTTCGCGTCAACGTCATCTCCAGTTATGAAACACCATTCTAAACTTGGAAAAAGTTGCAAAACGTCGAAGATGTATGGCAGTAAACTGTAGTCATTGTGTTTATGTGTTGTGCTTCATATATATTGAGATGCTGGTGTATTGGATGTCAGGTAATCTTAAAACCTAATTATAAAAAATTGAAAGGTACAGTTAGGTATTTTAAGTTTGAATGTACCACTTAAAGCAAAAATTCAGTAACTCACTTGATAGCCTAAGGATCACAGTATTCGATACGACAAATACGCTGCGACACACAGTGCACTACTGCACCACGAAGGGATGTATGTAAGGGATGTATTACCGTATTTTTAAGTTCGTTTCACCGAATACTATGATTTCCCTGTTATGTAACTTTTGATACGGTGAAAATATGGCGTTGGTTCAAGTTTTAATAGACAGTTCTCGTCGAAATCCATCGCGTGTACAAACATATTTTAATAACAGGATATTACATATTTCCTTCTTCGATTTCTTTCCTGAAAATTTTTAAGAAAAAGTTTCTACCATTAGTAACAATAATACGAAAGCTATCATTAATGCTGATATATTCCACTTTACTATTTCCAGTACTAAATCTCAACGTTTTGTTGTCTATTCTTGCTCTCATACTTACGGGTCATTCTCCAATTTGCTGAATTTCGCCCTAAAATTTATTGAAATACTAGTTGCTGCATAATATAAAAAAAAAAAACTGTAAGTTCTTAGCCAATGAGGAGGAGGCACGGAATATTATGTCAACCGGTTAGGTATAGATTTATGGTTAATAGCCGAAATCTCAGTCTAATGGTATTTCCCAGGCACTAGGTTACATATGTTGCTACAGTAGGTACAAGCACTATAACCTAAACTAAAACCTAATTTTTGGATATGCTGGCTAAAAAGTAACTGCTACAACTATAAACTGCATGCAATAATAACTTGAGTAATTATATCGAAGAATATTTTCTTAAATGAAGATGTGACTTTTGCCCATGTTGACGGGAGCAGCCACAGACTTTGAAATGAAAGCCAATTCCTATTTTTCTAGTTATCATTTATTTTAAGCTGTCTAGCGCTTACAATATGTTTTCTAAGGGTTTTAGCCCCATGCACTACACATTTTTTTTATTTTTTGTATATCTTCCCCTTCCGAGCCTATTAAGCTATACGGGGTTTTCCGGGCCAATGGGCGAGGACGTGGGATTGATACCAAGTTAAAACCTCCTTCGGTGCCTGGATACGAACTCGTAACTTTTTTATAACTCATAACTATTATTAGGGGCAACACCTGTTGCTGTATAAACTCGTTAGCCCTATCGGCCACCAGGGAATTTTCGTGATTTATGAGAAAATGGATTTTGGTCATTGGAAATTTCTCTCCCATTCCATTCCAAGTCCCTATGGCATTAATATGCACCTTTCAAAACAGTATTTTTTTTTTCAAACTCCACTCGGCTGGGGTGATTTTCTTTACCACGCGTTAGTAAATTCTTTCATTAACCAGTAACTCATTCAAGAAATATGTTATTACAAATTAGAATTGAGATTATTGTTTGTTGCTATTACAGCTGCAAGCACTTAAAATAAAACCTACTTTTTAGAAATTCTGTCTAAAAAGTAAATATTAAAACTGTAAACGGCATGCAATAATAACTTGAGTAATCATATAAAAGAATATTTTCGTAAATAAAGATGTGACATTTGTCCAGTGGTAGCTCATTTCACAGTCGGCAGTAACTAGAATCAGTTACCAGCCCCTTAAATTTTAAACAAACATAAAATTTTCCATCCTTATGATATAACATTAATTTGTTTGTGTGCCATTTCCGACATACTCTCAGATATGATAGTCATACAGTAAAAAGATGAGACTAAAAATATCGGAAAAAAATTAGATTGACGAAACGCCCACAAACGAAGAAAAAAGAAAGGAGAATTTTTATGAAACCAAAACATTTTTTAGGCGATGGAATCTATTTGATTTTTGGTAGCAAAACTATGGCCTCTATTGGTATATATTGGTACCAAATCTATTGCCGACCAATAAATCAACCAAATCTATGGCGAATAATTCTTTTTCCAGTACACCGGAATTTTATATTGTACAACATATATAGGTCTGAGATGTGATGGATCATATCGTTTATTATCACTGAGTTATAAGAGATTTGAAGTTTTTTTTTAGTTCAGTGTAAAACAAATATCTTAAGATTTGTTTATCATGATCAAAATAAAAATTTAAATCCAAAACATATTCTTCGTTACATTGCAAGTTTAAAAACGCCTCATGTCGAATTTTTACACAATTTAAACTATTTCGACATATTTCCATTACAGGCACATATAAAATCTTTCTGATATCTAATACGCTTATGGTTTTCTGAATAGAAGTACTTCTAAGGCAGAAACATCTGTTAAGATTGTCAAATATTTTGTAATAATTTCAAAGCGATTCAAATCCGAAACAGGTGGATGATGTAAGATGAAAACGATCGTTAGAGGAGCTATTACGGTTATTCACATGCTCGGGTCCCTTTAGAATCAGGACCCAATTTTGCAAGAATTTATAGCGACCCCAAGATTTAGTGATTACAAAGCAAGGGAACCAGCCCTGAGGCAATCTGCTCGCCGACATCGCTAATTGTAGGGCGGAGTGGAACGTGATCCGCAACCCCAACCCAACTGCGTGCCTTTCCGAAGCCAGGGGTCATGGGATGTTTGCTGTCCATTGTGGTGGACCTTCCTTTTGGATTTACGCAAGGACGCCGTAGTCGTACCTTACCGTGTTTACCTGGATTCGTCACGATAACCCGTTCCTATACGGTTATTGGTAGTCTGCTCTTTTTTTTTTCTTTTTTTTTTTTTGTTAAGGGTATTTGCTAAGATTATTCCCCAGAATACCACGGGAAACATCAATTCGTAAAGAATTATTGTCGTTTCTATTGTGGTCAAATATTGGTGTTGTAAGACCAGACCATATTTTCACGTTTTCCGCAGCTTCAGCCACTTAGGAAAAAGACGAAACTGGAAGTAATACTTTATTAATTTCAAGTAATGTGTTGTCCTTACAGGAAACATCGGGCAATCTTTTTTAAATTATACAGTTTTTTCAACTACATACGTGTATATATAACTATGACTTAGAATTAGTAACTCATTTGTTTCAGCTGCATTCATCATACAGCCTTTAAAAGCTAGGAGGTGTTGGGCTACGTTCAGAAAAGAAAACTTTAATACGTTAAGGTAAACTTTAACTTATAACAATGAATCAATCATTAATGAGGAGGCTCAGATGTACTGATGGATTCTCTATTACTAGTAATTATTAGAACTACGAATGGACCTGAGTTCACTTGAACTTACTAATATATTTCACACATATCATCGTTTTTTTTATATTCATATATTTTTAATTTTTTATATTATATTTTTTAATAAATGATCATATTAAAAATTAGATATTGCGAATATTACTTCTCGTCCACACTAGGCAATATTCGTTCGCTAACGAGATGCGCGACATATGAAGCGTGGACGCATCTTTAAATGAAGATTCCTAAAAAGGGGCAAGCTCATAAACTCAGAACATCGATCACCGAGCGATATTAGCTTTTGGGACGAAAAACAATTGTAAGTCAATTGAAAAAAGTTTTATAAAATCTCAAAGTTGGAAAAAAAGAATGTTTTCCGAGTATAAGTCATGTCTCTAATTTCTTCGAAATGATGTCATCGTTAAACTCAGTGGCGAGTTCAGGAATTTACCATATTTCGTTTTCTTGTTAAATACACATGATCATTAAAGAAAAACAACAGAAAAATCAGCAACAACAGTACAGTAGAAAGGTATAGTTCCTGTGTTTGGAAAAGCGTAAAATAATTAATTGTATGTATTTGTATTATTATAGCAGCCGAAACATGAAAAAAGAAGAAAACAAATACACTTGTGTTGTCCGAAATCGGTCTTGGTCTTGCACTTTGCACTTTGCAAGACCACGACCAACACCGCCTAGCTGTTGCAAGACCAAGACCAACACCGCCTAGCTGTTGCAAGATCAAGATCAAGAATAGTAAAAAATATTGATTTTTTGAATAAAAATTGAGGCAAAATAGTTACTAATACTTGACAATTTTAGTTACTATAAGTAAAGAATTGGTGTAACCAATATACTTTTGCATTTAACTCTCCCAATTTTTCACTCAGACTTATTTAGGTTTCTCAAATCTAAAAATTACAATAATTTCTCTCTAGCAATAAGGTAATAGGTGACTGCAAGACTGTTACGAGAGTCTTGCGCAAGACCAAGATCTAGACCAAGACTTAGTTTGCAAGACCAAGACTCGTCTCGGTCTCGCATTTGGGCAACACTAAAATACACACATACATTTATATCTATATATATAATACGTCTGCATAAAGTAGATAAAAATATTTATATGATGTGTACCATTATATAATTTAATAGAAATCGTAATTAATTAATCATTGAAAAGTAAATTTATTCTTTATATTAAAACTTCCTTGGTACAATGTTATGCTATTAAAAATAAAACATAATGGGACATATGAAGATATTATTCCTAGTTTCGTAGTTTTAAAATACAATTAAAACATCGAATCAATAATATACACGAGGAAGTTTATTCTTGACTGAAAAATTGTAAAACTAGGATTTATTTACTTTTTATTTTTTCGGTAATTACATTGCATTTATTTCAAACCTGCTCAAATCTATTTTGCTAAGATTCGTTGAGGTGAAATTAGTTTTTTTGAAAAAGTACCTAATTGATCTAACGATTTTTTTATTTTTAACACGTTTATTAAATATATTTAAATGTAAAAAAAGTAATATTAAACACAAAATTTCCAGAACCTTTAACCTTCACGATTGAAAACTGAGTTGTGTGAATTCGCAAATTAGTTCCAAAAGCAATGAAACCATTTTGCATTATAGGCTTAACCTGGATCGTTTTTACGAAGGGGACTGTCTCCTTCAAACTGCCAAGGAGGTGAAGGAGGTGGAGCAAATGCTATTTGTCCCAGAACCTAAACTGCTTATTCTAAATCCTTTAGCTCCCTCGCTTCATTTCCAGTTCAAGGCGAAGAACCGTGAAGGATAATAAAACGAAAATGACACAGGCTGAAAAAGGAGTGATTAACTAAAAAGGATTTGGACGTGCCTAGGAGACTGGCTTATCCCTTGGGTCATGGAAGCAGCTTATTCATATCTTGCAGACTTCCTACGAAGTAGGAATAAATAACACCGTGTCCCTTCAAGGGATTTTTCACTCAACCCTTTCAATAGTACTGAGAATAAATACAGACTGTAATAATTTTCAAAAAGAATGTTTATTCAGGAAAGGTTTAGTAGGGAATATTTAAAATAAATGATTAACATAGGCAGATCGGTCGTAATTATTTCAAAATTCTGAAAGAAATAAAATAGAAAATAGATACTAATCCACCCAACCTTAAATTCATTGACCCCCTTTTTAACCGTTGTCACGTCCTTCTGGATAGGCCATTGTTACTAATTGAATGTTTTACAGGAGAAACCATCTATAAGTCTATTCTTAGGGCACCTAGACCACATGGGGGTGGGAGTGGATTTGTTTAAAAAAAAACCTAAATATCTTTGAAATGTGGCCCATTTAGTATGTGAGTGACAGGATAGATATATATTTGTATTTTCAACATTTTGACTCAGGTATTCATGAGTTTCGATTCGATTATTCAAACTTGTTCACATAATAAGGTATGCGGTGCTTTGTTATGAGGAAGTGGTGTTAATAAAAAATAGTAAAAGCTCTACTAGTGGTGTTTTGAAATTTTAGCTAAGTAATTGTAATTAAATCATATTATTATTAATTAATTTGTTATTAAAATTATAACCTAATATTGGATTTCTTTCCCTTGGATATTTGTTTACTGATTTTTATTAGTTATTTACTACTTTTACAAATTGTATGTACATTTTACAGACAAACTTGGATGACACAAAATATTGAGTGGGACTAGGCTAATGATATCTTCTGACACATTTTTTTTGGACTGTAGTTAACCTACTTCAGAATTTCAAAAGGAAAATCATCATAGGACATGCCGTCATTTGCATCCGATACTCTGACCGTACCCCAGTTCCCAAGGAACCAAAAAGTACACTGACCAGTTCTTTACTTTTTCGATGATTCGACTGTGAAGGGACCGTTGAAATCTGGAGCCTTGTCTGTAACTCATAAATTGGCTCTACCGAGGACAATTGGAGCTATCCCGAAGAAGAGAGTACTCCCACGCGATTTGAAGAGATCATTATTGGCTATGATAGACATTGAACTGCCGATTCAAACACGACAACAACGGTTTTCATTTATTCACACTTTCTCTCACCTATAATTTCTAAAAAGGAATTTTCTTTTCTCATTATCGTTTATGTATTAGTGGTGTAGGCCAGTGTCTAAGGATATATCAGATTAAAAATTAAAATGATTATATTTCGGGTTTATATTAGATTTTTTTCTTCTTCAAAACTGCCATGAATGCAAAGCCTCGTCCATCAAAAACTCTTCTAAGATGTTTATTTTTTTTTTTTTGAATCTCGTTCCTAAAATCAAACTTAAAAAATAAACTTGTATCTGTACAATCCATGGAAGAGGGGCTTGGGCTCAGTACTTAATAATGAAGTACTGTTTCTTTGTCGACGTGCACGGAAGGAGGTGATTAAACCGATCTCACGCTCAACAACTAATTGTTTCATGTTTGTTGAATTTGATTTGATTGAATTTGAAATTCCTATTAATTTATTATTTTAAATTCTTATTTATTAAAGATGATATTCACCATTAGTAGGTTTTATAGTTCTAATAACGCACTAATATTCACGGATAGGAGCGGTTAATTTTTACAATCTAGTTAGCCATTTATTTCGATTCCTGAATGGTTTGTTTCCGTTTATAATTAAAATTTATTTATTTTCTTGTATCCAGTCTTTCCAATCCAAAATTTTACGAAGAATAATTGACGCACCATTTTATGTCGCAAACGATAGATTACATAAAGAAATCCCAACAATTTTAGACACTGCAAAAGAAAACTACAATAACTTTCACCAAAGACTAACTTACAACACAAATCCTCTGACAGAAAACCTTAAAAGCACTAGAAACCCGTACATCCCACCTCGACGATTACGTAAGCGGTGGTCAAGAGACCTGCTGAACTGAAATATTTCCTGGATTGTGATGGGACGCTGTGAAGCTGCCAAAAAATTTTCTCATTGCAAAGAAATTCGCAGATCGCAAATTTAATTTTTATGTCCAATTTTATGTTATGTATTAATAATAATAATAATAATTTTCTTGTACAAGACCATAGATCGTGGCACACACCCCTTTTTACCTAATTATTTTCATCCGTCTACAATTTCGGTGATACCTTAATCTCATCGTAAACTTCAAATATTTTATTTGCGAAAATTCTCGGGATGGGGGCGTTTTCGATCTGGAGATCGGCAAACTCTTTCTATTTAACTAGGTACTAAAAACTCAAACATACCCATTTACTTTTTACTTAGATCGTAAGGTAATTTGATCACAAAATCGAGTAAAAATGTCATCCACAAAATATTGAGCCGTTTGCCCTACAATAGCCTCGTTGTTTTGACAATTTGGGGTCCACGCCAAACGGCTCAATATTTTTGAAAACCACCTATTTTCTAGTCTTTGTGCTCAAATTATCCTACGATTTAAGCGGAAATAAAATGGGATTTACGAGTTTTCAGTACCTAATTATTTAAACAAAGTTTGTCGACCTAGATTGAAAACGCCGCAATCCTAAGAATTTTCGGAAATAAAATATTTGTATGATACCTTGAGACGAAGCTATTTACGAAGTTTCAGGCGGATGTTAATAATTAGAAAAAAAGGGGTCTGTACCACGGACTACCATACTAATTACAGGTTGTTGCAATGCTAAGATAATTGTATATGTAACTCTAAAATCTTCAAATTGATATGTGTTTTTTTTAAAACTTAATTTCTTCACCCACACTTTTCAGAAGTAGTGACCTTAGTTGTGTAGTCTGCTGTCGGAAAGAATACTTGTAATAGCATTGATTGGCGTGCGAGAGAGGAGTGTCCAACGTCATCTCTTTCTGTCTTGATTTTAGTATATTTTTAAGCGGTAATCAGATGAGATCCTTGGTAATTTAAAGGTGCATAAAGAAAACTAATGAATCAACAAGACTGATTAAAGTAATAATTTTGATGGACTTATTTGGTTTTTTACTTTCACTTACTTATATTTTTTTTTTTTTTTTGTGTGTGTGTATTCCCCTTCCTCGCCGTTAAGGCCAGGAGGTGTGGGCGGGGATTTAAAAGACGCCTTGTCACCGGGACGCGAACGCATGACTATTTTTGTATCATTTATCATATATCAGGTTGCCGGGCAACGGTGGTGCTGTGCACAAAGCGTTGGCCCATTCGGCCACTCCGCCCTCACTTACCTATATTTATAATAAATAGTAAGGG